GTATTTTTATGTTTATGTATGTGACTTAATATGTCTACTGCTATCGATATCATCCAAATTGAATGTAATATGGATTATCATTTCTATTTCAAACCATTACCTTCCCTATTAAAAATGTTGCTTTGTAGGACATGCCCCATCAGCTTTGGGATCAGACAAATGTTCATTTTTTGGTTGTGAGCCTAGCCTTTAATGGCTGAGCTATTCATCCAGCCCAATGGTTCATTTTTTAATAAAAATGTATTTATAGCCAGGTGCTGTCATGTACACCTTTAATCCCAGAACTGGGGAGGAAGAGGCAGATGAATCTCTGAGTTTGAAGCCACCCTGGTCTACATAGTGTGGTCCAAGGCAGCCAGGGCCACATAGTAATATCCTGTCTCAAAAATGTATTTCTGATGTTCACAGAGAAAAAGCAACTCTATTTTTTTTGGTTTTTATGAGACAGGGTTTCTCTGTATTATTTTGGAGGCTGTCGGTCAAGCCTAGCCTCGAACTCACAGAAATCCGCCTGCCTCTGCCTCCCGAGTGCTGGGATTAAAGGCGTGCACCACCAACGCCCGGCTAAAAAAAGCAACTCTATTATAGTCACCTGTGTTTCTTGTTTTTCCTTTGTGTCTTCTTTCCTGTGTTCTGATATTTGTTTTTCATCATTGACTTTCTGATTAAAGAACTTGTTCTTTTTTATTTTTTTTAACATTTTATAATTATTAATTTCAGAAGGTCTACAACAAGCTCCTTTCATTTCTCTTTTTGGGGAACATATCTATTTTACTTGGCTGCCTGGGAGATACTTTTGCTGGGTATAGAAGTTCCAGTGCCAATTCTCTTTCATCCCTTTCTGATTTCCATGAGGAATCCTTAGACTTTTTTTGTTCAATTTTTTTTTATTTTAAATAGCTTGTTTTACATGTCAATCCCAGTTCCCTCTCCCTCCCCTCCTCTACCACTCCCCTTTCCCCCCACCCTCCCACCCTATTGCCAAATCCTTCCACATAGGGGATATCAGAGTCTGTCATTTTACTCTGGGTAGGGTCCAGGCACTCCCCTAAGAGTCCAGGCTGAGAGAGCATCCCTCTTTGTGCTATAGGCACACGAAGACTGTTTGTATATCAGGGATAGACACTGATCCACAGCTCAGGGCCCCATAGGTTGCCCAGGCCTTCTCGCTGACACTCACATTTGGGGGGGTCCAGATCAGTCCCATGCTGGCCTCCCTACTGTCAGTCTGGGGTCCAAGAGCTCTCTCCTGTTCAGATCAGCTGTCTCTGCTGGTTTTGCCAGCCCATTCTTTGCCAATTTGCTCATCACTCCTCTCTCTTTGTCACTGGGTTCCTTGGGTTCAGTTCAGTGATTAATTGTGTGTTTGCCTCTGCTTCCATCAGTCACAGGATGAAGGCTCCCGGATGGTTATAGACATCAAGTTCATTATCAGGAATGGGCATTCGAGGTGGTCTCTCCACTATTGCTTAGCTTGCCAATTGGTATTATCCCTTTAGATCACTCGAGGTCGCTCTGGTGCCTGATCTGTATTCGATCCTATGATTCCCTCTTCCCCCTATTCTACCCCCACCCCCTCAACTTCCTTTTCCCCCATGACCAACTCTCTTCCTTTTCACCCCCTCTCTTCTTCCCAGGTCCCACTCCCCCCCACTCCTCACCGTGTTCCCCATCCATTCAGAGGATCTTGTCTCCATCCTCTTCTCTTGGGTACTATGCATATATGCATATCTTTTAGGTTCTTTCCTGTTTCCCAAACTCTCTATCAGTGGAAGTGCAGACTGGCACTATCCTGATCCATGTCTAAAATCCATAGGAATCCTTAGACTTTTGTACTAGTGTTCCCCTATAGTTAGTGTGTAATTTTGTCTCAAAATATTTTCTGGATTTTTTTTCTTGACATTAGTTTTCAGAGACTAGACTATTAGCACAAATTTTGGGAGGTTTATACTACTTGGGATTTACCCAGCCTTTTGAATATACGGGTTTCAGCTTTAAGCTCCTTCTGGAAACCTAAGAACAGAAATGTTGAATTTGTTTTTGTATTTTGTCCTACAGCAGCACAACCATATTATACTTTGGGGGATTTATCCTTTGTCTTCACCTTCTTTCCTCCTACTCTTTCCGATACCAAGTTCACTTGCGTTCATTGATATCATCTTCCTTTGTCTCCACCTACTGTTAGTACATTCAGCAAGTTTCACTTTCTGCTCCTGTATTTTTCAATGCTACATTTTATATTTGTTTGGTTCCTAAAACTCGCTTTCTTTGTTGGAATATATTTGTTTTTCAAAAAGAATTGATGATTCATTGTTGAATTTTTAGGGTGGGTATCTTCAAAGTTCTTGTCATTTGATTTGTTGTAGTGTTAGCATTAGTTGTCTCTTTTTATTCAAGTTGTAGTTTTATTGACTCTTGGTGTGACAGGTGATTTTCAGTTATAAGTCTGAACATTTTATGTCATATGTCTGTTTCAACCCTTTATTGGAACACAGATTTTTGGCATCTCTTGTGACAGCAGTACTAAGATATAGTTTAACTGTAATAATCTTTGTTGTATTATTTGTTTTGCTTGGTTTTCACAATTCTCTTCTGCTCACTGATTCTTGCCAGTGATGCTTGGGACATGGAAATATTTCCCCAAGCCAGGTTGTGGGTGTCTCTGCTAGTAAAGGGTGTCTTCAGCTTGATGGAAAGAATACAAAGGTTTTGCTATCTGGGATCTCAGTGTGACAGGATTCCCACAGCAAGTACACCCCAGATATCTAAGCATCTCTGAGCAGACAGAGGAGTCCTAGGCACTAAGTTTCCCAGTTCATAGTGGCTGAGGCTTAGTCCCAGAGGTTTAGCGGAAGAGGCTCCAGCCCACAGGACCTAATTTCTGTGGTTGCTTGTGGAAGAATAAAGACATCTTTCCACACCAGGCTGCAATGTGTAGTGATATCTTTTTTATATGCTAACAAATAAAGCTTGCCTAAAGATCAGAGGGCAGAGCTAGCCACTAGTTAACCTCAGAGATCTGGAGGTCTGTACAGACAGACAGGAAGTGAGATAGCTGGATGGAGAGAGGAAGTAATAAGGTGGGAGGAGACAGAAGCTTGGGCTCTTTTTGACTGGGAAGTTATCCAGGTAAGGTGTGGCTGTGGCTTGCTCCTTCTCTGAACTTTCAGCATTTCCCCCTATAACTGACTTCAGGCTTTTATATTAAGACCTACTAGAACTTGTGCTACAGCAATGTTCTTTAGATTTGGAATTTTTAAAAAGTCTAATTACTGAAAAGAGGACTTTTAGAACTTGAGACAAAGGTTTTCATTTAAAACTCCTGTGTACATGTGAAAGGAAAATATAACATTGTTCATATGTAAAAGAAAAATAAAACATATAACACATTTTATAACAAAACATTATCCATATGAAAATATAAAATATAACACTGGTTAGGGTATTCTCATTTTTTTATATGTAAAATGCAACTCTTAGGGGTCAATGTTTAATTTCTGTGTAAGAATCATAGATGTTTGTATTTTCCACAGAATTATCTTTCTGCCATAAGTGTTTTTTGATGCAGAAGTATTTAGTAAAAAGGCCACTGCTCTCCCTGGGATGTCCCTTCATGCTGCTACTATCTCTTCTATTTGTCAGACTGACATTTGGAGAACTCTAGGAGTGTAGGCGAGAACCTAAAGTGCCTATAAGATGCCTCTGAGCTTCCAAGTTGTGCAAGAATCATATACCATTAGTCAGCATACGTTCCTCCCTCTAGTTTAATCTTCCTTTAAAAACAAACAAAAAGAAACAGACCAGAGGCCGGGTGGTGGTGGCTCACGCCTTTAATCCCAGCACTCGGGAGGCAGAGGCAGGAGAATCTCTGTGAGTTCGAGACCAGCCTGGTCTACAAGAGCTAGTTCCAGGATAGGTTCCAAAGCCACAGAGAAACCCTGTTTCAAAAAGAAAAAGAAAGCCAGACCAGAGAAATGTGTATCTGCAAGACTCTTGACCAAAAGCATTTCTCTAGTGCAAGACAGAATGAACTTACCAGTGGGAAGAATGGGTCTTGCTGTTCCCAGTGACCAACAACAGTCCTACAGTTTCTTTCTTCTTTCTCTTAGTTGCCTCCCATTGCATTCTCCAGCCAGTAGCTAGGATCATCTTTCTAAAATGTATCTTTCACCTCCTTTTATGTCCTTCAGAGACATCTGCAGTATCTGGGGTAACCAGCACACATACCAGGCACACAGGTAAACACAAGCATGGTCTGTGGTATAGGCCGGGAGATGTATGTGGGGTGGTGTTAGAATGAGCCCTCCCTAAATGTTCATGTCTTAGCCTTGCAGCTTAGGCAAGGGGACTGCATGATGTGAGATCTTTACAAAGGGATAGTATATGTATTATGTGGATGGACCCCATGCAGTCCCCAAAATCCTTAAAAGGAATGCGAGAGTGGGAGAGAGATCTGAATTGGAAGAGCATGTGTTGTGAACTTTGAAGATGGAAGAATAGGTGAGGAGCCATGGAATCTAGGTGACTTCTAGAAGTTGGAAAAGGCAAGGGAATCGATTAGATCCAACCCTAGAACTTCCAGAAAGAGGCAGAGCCACCAGTCCTTGATTTTAGGACTGCTGACTTCTACAACCATAAAATAATGTTACTGATATCCCCAGAGTCTTTTGAGATCATGCCTTACTGTGAAGCCCAGGTCGGTCTCATATCAACAATTCTGCTTCGCAGTGCGCAGTATGCGACCCCATGCCTGGCTTTAAATTTTCTCTGTGTTCACACCACTAAGTGTGCTACTTTGTCCCAACAGCAACAGTATGTGTACATGTGTGAGATGAAGGCACTGATATGTTTTGTGTTTTCCGGGGAAGAAGGACCTGTACTTTTGCACCTGCACAGTGAACGTGCACGAGTTTAAGACAGGTGACATTTGGACTTTCAGTTTCACTTCATGCACAAATAACCCACAGCCTTCTTTATTGAGAAGGAAAACCACAGCTGGATCATTTGAAAAGTTCATTTATTATATACCAATATACAGTCTCTGTAATAAAAAATCTCCCCAGTACATCGAACCACCTTATAAATGATATAAGAAAATAAAATTTGCATCTGTTTACAAATGGGTTAAATTTGCCAGAACAAGGTACTCTGCAAATCTGCCCTGCAGCTTGTGCAAACCCTACCCCTGAAAATGGCCACACGAAGGAACGGTGCTGTGTGTAGTCTTTGGCACGGTCGTATTGCTCTTGGACTATTTCTATAATTACAAGTGTGGATACTTTCAAGTTAGTCATTCTCAATGTAAAATACTCAAAATATGTACAGATTTTACAGTTTTCCAATGGTTTTGGATCAACCTTTTATATTTACATTTAAATATGTTCAAACTAAACATATTTAATATTTGTAACATATCTTTTCCACTTTCTATCTTGGTTTATTTGTTGGGTGGATGAAAATGGAAAGACATCTTAAAGATGTTATTTAGTGATTTTTTTCTCCCAAATCATAATAACTAAAAAGTTATGATAGTTTCTAGTAATGCTCAATTTCTATCACAAGGCATACCATTCTATAGTATATAACTCCAGAAAACGATACATAAAACAAATATATATTTTTAGGCACACTGCAGAAAAACTGTTGTAGTATGACAGTATTATCATCATCCTGATATGTATATGTCATACTTGGCTTTACTGAAATGTAAAGTACATGACAAATAACTGAAAAAAAATAGTAGTGAATGCCAAACATTCTAGGCAGTGAGTCACAACTGAACTCCATCCCATGTAAGTGTCTATGGATGTGAACAAGAATGGCAGTCTGTATCTCCATGTCACATTAGCGCATCTATGTCTAACCACTTGACATTAACAGATGAAAGTCAGCAAATTCCCAAGCGAGCTAAAAGAAGCAGAGTCCATTCTAGACATGCTAAACTCAAAGACCAGTGCTAGTACTGAAAAATATTTACAAACGAGGAGCCCCTCCCTTTGCTACCTTCCTGTAGATGATTATAGTGTTGTAAACAGTGAAGAGCATTACTGAACTATGTACAACTTTGGGGTCAATTTTTAGATACCTCCAATGGACAGTAACATACATACACATGGATTTTTGAGCCCACTAGCTTACTTCCCTGCCCCAACCTGATAATATAATTGTTTTGACTGTGGAGTAAGAAAACTTCATATGTAAAAAATGAAAATCCAATGTACCATATGTCAACATTCTGGCAACTACAGAATGAAATTATATATACAAACATATAGCACAATCACAGTTTCCTGCACTGAAGGTTTATCAAATAAAAATGTATCAAAAAATACTGGGTAGCGTGTCTCCACATGAATTATGGTCTTCTGAAAATTACGCATGAGAATGGAAGACAAGAGGGAAAGCCTTGTTCAAAGACAAACGTGTGACAAAAATGCCAGGAACAACATGAAAAAGCAGGTGCTGTCTCACTCGGCAGTCTAGCTAAAAGCATTATTCTGTTATTTTTCTTTTTTTGATAATTAAATACCACCCCACTCCCACTGTCCATTTAGTGAGATGTTTTAACATCTACCGTAAAAAAAACCCATTGACACTAATTCACTGTAATAAGTAGGTTGGGCAAACAACTCTTTTAGTATTGAAACAAAGTACTCTAGACTGGTACCTGTCATTCATGTACCTTACAGGGACAGTTCCCAAGATACGTGCCTGCCTCAGTCAGTCAGTAGTCAGTAGTGTTACTGTAGGATGGGAGATGGCCATGAGTGACAATGGCTTTGCCACTGGGGCATTTTTGCTTGGTGCTCTGAGAACACAATGATTTGCTAATCTGGGGTGGTGAATTGTGGGCAGAGTAACAGGGGCACGGCATTGTCTGCTGACCAAGACATGCAGCCAACCAGATTCTGCTTGCACAACTGCAAAACACACCTCGGGCATCACACACCGCACTAGAAGGCCTGGGTTGAAATGTGTGCCACAGGTTTTTAATTCATCATTCGCCATTCCCGACCAAACCCATAATTTTCTCTTCCACAGGTGTCAGGCAATGGAATTAGGAATTGTCTCTGGAATCTTCTCGTTATTTCTTCTGAATAACATCCCAATCAAGGCAGGTAAATTGTCCTCTGGAGCATAATTTCGGCCATTTCCAATGGAAAGCTTTTCCTCAGGTTAGTGGTGCTTGGGATTTGGAGGGTTGTAAATCCAGTCGATTATAATGAGCGCCATGCTTCCCATCATGAAGATGATTCCAGTCACGAGGAAGACCAAAGCCTGCGGTTCAGAGGGAGCACATTAGGGAGCAGAGACCCGAAACAGCACAGTTTGCTTTAGGACATTGTCACAGGGTGGTAATGTACCTTGTATATTCTTAGTGACACATGTCAGGTCACTTTAGGACCCTCCTTGGGAAAGGATTGAAAACATATAGCTTAAGGGTCAGGAGGAGAGTAGTAGTGATTGTTTTGGTACATGAACATAGGGGGACTACCAAAAATTAAGCGAGATGCAGGCCAGACTCGGTGATGTAGGAAATACTCATGACCTCCTGGGTGGAAAGGGTCAGACATAGTGAGAGTAGCATTCGTGATACAACTGACAAATCACATAAAATAAAATGAAAGCCCAGTGTATGTTGAATATTTCTAAAAAAAAAAGACAAAAGTATAGGCATCTTTGTAAGTAGGAATATTGAGAACATCTATCCTTCAGAAGCTTAACTGGAAGAGTCCTTAAATATTCCACATAGATCAGTCTTATAATGCTACCCCTTGGAGAGCAGCAAATGAAATTTGTCATTAGCAGGGCTCTAGGAGACAACTTTAAATCTGGCCAAGATGAGTACTTTCCCCGGGGCAACCGCTATAGACACCCAAGCAAGAGGGAGCACACGGAGTCCAAATTTGGGGGAAAGATGACAGGAGGGGATTGCGCTATCAAGTTGCCCTTCCATCCACGGGCATCCCAAGAGGTGAGTAACTTCAAGACTTGGATTTAGAAGCATTCTTTCCAAGCCTTAATAGAAAGCCCTTTTAGCTGGTCATCAATGCCTAATTATGGGTAAGAGATCTTTTGCGATGTATGTCTCTATAGTGTTTATTATGGAAAGAAAATATGTATGTCATAGTATAATAAGATGATATTTTATACCTGAAAAGATTAACTGAAAAATGATCGATTCTAGTTTTTACAGAACACACAGGGTTTGATAGAAAGGAAACAAAAGCCACCTTTGCCCTTGTGAATCTAGAAAATGGGACTAAATTGCTGCCATTGCCCACACTGGGAGGGGGCCCAGTATCTTCCTCTAATGCCACAGCACATCCAGCCTGGCACTGGATGCCAGTGGGCATGTAACATGCATGCCCGTGGGAAATACACCAAGACAGCATTTGCCACATAGAATATCTAGTTATTTGCTACCAGAAATACAAGAATCCTCTGAGTGTCAGAAATCCTCTCCTTCCCCACTGTCGGGCTGCCCATTTTCAGCCCGTGGCTTTTGCTTATTTTGGGGTCTTGCCTGTTTCATTATTCTAAACCATGTGTGTTTTCTGACTTCCTCTAAGTAGTTGAGATACTTACAGTAGGGGTCATTACAAGGCTTACTTACCCCAACCTTTTGGGGTGACCTAAGAGGTTCCTTCTTGACAAGTTTGAGATAAAAAGCTGCTGGAAGAATGAAAATCAACATGGTGGCAGACGAAGCCCCTGGGGAGAGAGATGCAGGGCAGTTAATGTCTTGCACAGTTGGTTGCCCCAGAAAGTGGGTATCTGCAAGCACACGCTATGGGACAAACAAATGTAATGCTATTTTGTTTTTCTCAGCACTGAAAGCAACATTTAAGTCATAGTCCCTCTTGCCTACATATTTCTAGGATGTGTCTCTATAAAGAAGATTAAAGTATGCCTCATGTTGTAGGCATGTTAAGTACAACAATAATAAGCAATAAAAGGCCAAACAATACAAGTTGGCAAAGACTTAGATAACTTTTACACACTCAGAGGGCTGAACTCAACACTCAAGCTTCCTGTCCACACCTGATTCTATTAAAAAGTCATTCTACCCTGGCAGTGGTGCTGCTCGCCTTTAATCCCAGCACTTGGGAGGAAGAGGCAGGTGGAACTCTGTGAGTTTGAGTCCAGCCTGGCCTATAAAGTGAGTTCTAGGATAGTCAGGGCTACACAGAGAAACCCTATCTCAAAGAAACAGACAACAAAGTCCATTCTGCCCTGAAAATCTAGTAAACCCTTTGCCTGGATGGAGAACTTAAACACACCAAGAGACCATGTGGTTAAAGGAAATGAGATGTTTTGGACTATCAGCCTTCATGCCTCTAAAGACATCCTCAAGACTCCAGCTGGCACTCACAGACTTATGGTAGCCAGCCCTTACTTTCCCCTTGAAGACAGAGCTACGGCCCATGCCCGATCCTGTGTCCACCAAAAGATATGTGATTTGATTTCTCTAAGGCTCAGTTTCCTTGTCTCTTGAAAGGGCACTTGGATGATATGGCTATACCTGGATGCCAACATCAGGTGAGAGGCAGAGAACATAGCCAGGGTGGTCCCTGAGCCCAACAGGGGCTCATGGGATTCTTATTAGCCCGAGAGGGACAAGGAGCCCCGTCTACATAGCACAATTTTCATATCTGTCATTTAAGGAGGCATAAGTCTGAACAGATCCAACAAAAGCTCTTGTGAAACTTACCTATGAATCCAAAGATGTATTTGATGGTGGGCACGAGGATGACCAGGACATTGTTGAGCGCAATGATCACGACAGCGATCAGGAAGTGCTTTATCCAGCTGAAGGGTCTTTTGGGAAACAGCAGTGTGATCACAGAGGTCCGAATCTGCAACAAGGATTTCAAAGGTGTGAGCACTTCTTTAACTTTTTTTTCCCCTTGAGACATGGTTTCCTCTGTGTAGGCTTGGCTGTTCTGGAACTTATTCTGCAGACCAGACTGGCCTTGAATTCAACTGAGATCCACCTGCCTCTGCTTCCCAAGTGTTGGGAACTGCCACCACTAGGCTGGTTTTAATTTTTGTTACAAGTATTCTAAAGTGTTTTGTTTTATCCACACTCCCCATGCTGCTATCCCCCCAAATCCTGATGCTTTTTCTCACGTTTTCATTGTATTGAAACACACGTAGTGGCATTTGTCATCTTAAATTTGTACAGCTCAGCAGAATTAAGTCTATTCGTGTTGCTGTGTCAAACTCACACTGATTTGTGATGTCTGAGAGTGAGATCTTTCCTTGGCTGCGTATCATGCACCCACTTTTTTAGATATTAGAAGCTTTGTTCAAAACTAATCTTGGGCAGAAGAGATAACTGCTCCGTACAGGTTGGAGGCAGGGAAGACCCTGCTGACGGCTAACCGTGTCTTATTCTCATTAGACCAGCCTAGGCATCGAACACAGACACCAAGATGACTTAACACAGCCTGTAAGGCAATTTCTGTAAACCTGGCTTTTTCTTAATTTTCCATTTTATTTAACATTTCCCACTGGCATTTTTTGTTAAAGTGGTACTTTTTGTGCTCCCCGCCCCCACTAATAGATTACAGATTCACAGAAGGCAAACAGTGGGACTCAATAACCCCAACATTCCTCAGAGATCCTGCTCAGTCATTTACACATAGCAGGCATGCAGTAAATGTTGAATTAAACTGACAGCAGGAATCTTTGCTCTCCCTTCGGGGTCCCCCACAGATTCCAGCTCTCTTTCAGCAGCTGAAAAAGTACGCCAAGACTCAAGAGAGACTCCGCCTGCAACAGAGCTCAAGTAACCGCAGTGTCCATAGACAAAGAGGTCACGGTGGGAGAGGGTCAGCGAGCATTTGGGTTTGGACAGCCCGACAGAGAAACATACTTACCTTTGGAATCTCTTAAGAGGTCACTCTTTGGACTCAGTAAGATTACTCTATTGGCCTTTCAGTGAGTAAGCCCTTCAGTTAATTTGAGGCTTCCCATGTTTGGAAGTGATGGGGTCAGTTTTCACTTAAAATTTTCAGTCTCAAAATCTCATAAGGGTACAGAGACAGGAACTCATTGCAGAAACAGCAAATGTGAGCTCCATTTTGAGACATGTACCGACAACTCGAAAAAATGCAAGCTAAATCGTCTGCAGTTTCTCCTGTGGCATTCCTTTCATACCATTCATGGAAAATGAAAGCCATCTGTGTAGGTCTAGAATGGCAAACTGCACAGTGTCACAAATGGTTTCACAGTGACTTTGTGAAAGAGTGTAAAAATTGGATTAGTGAAAAATATGAAGCGCGCTATGAAATGCACTTCAAGGAAGGCAAGTAGTCTGATGCCACTTTCCCCAGTAACTGGGACATGATGACCTGTGATGAATGCTTGTCCCATATTGTGCACAGAAGCCAGCATTAGTGGACTTGCAATATGTTTTCTATAGTGGAGTGTGTTGCTCAAGGGTATGAAAGACTGGGAAGCTTACAAACAAAGCAAACTAAATACAAATTCAAGTTCCATGAAGATGCCATGCTTATATGTTTTGTTGTTATGAAAGCACTCAGGTTAAAACAAACAAACTTTTTAGCCAGGTCAAGGGCAATCCTGTATGCTCAGGGCCTCCGAGAATAACCCGGGTTCCTAAGGTCATGTGGTAGATGAAGGTGTGGCCTATGGAAAGAGAGGACAGAAAGTGGGCAGGTATAAATGCAGCCTGGTTGGAGTGAATGCAAAAGCTTTGTTCTCATGGAGAGTGAGCCGAAGAAAATCCCTCACAGGACTGAAGAAAACACGGGGCATCAATACCTGCTGCCCCAAGAGGGCAACAGTGCCAAGGAGGAGGCAGGCTGATCGTGGCCTTGGACAGGGTTAGAAAAAAACTGGTCAATCTATGTCACACCTCTCCTTTATGAGAGAGTGGATCCAAAGGCTGGGGCAGTTCTGTTTCCCCACACCAGGACAACAGAGGTAACTCAACCTTATTACCCACAAAGGTCCAGTGCTCCTCCATTTACCCATGTGCCCTTTACCTACTGATTCGAACCGATAAGGATATAAAAATGCAAGTCCAGGAAGTCCCCAGCACCAGCCAGGGCTCCTGATGCAGAATGTGACATTAGGAAGTTTCCATGTACTTTCTGGGAAGAACGTCAATTGTTAGGAGGCGCCCTGTGCTGATGTAGGGCCCCAATGTGAGAATCACAGATACGGAAGTCAAGTGGAAAGGGACAGCCTTGATTAGACACGCTCAATAAACACAGACTCTCCCACTGAGCAGAAATGATGCCTTCTCCGAGCTATAGGGCTGCTCAGGGATCGTATCTTGGGAATACCAGCTCTACTGCAGTTCCTAACAGTGCTTACAGTATTGCTATGACTACCTTTGTGTACGATTCAGAACAGGGGATCTGGGGGCAGTACATGCAAAAGGGATGATTATCCTTCGAGAAGATGAACTAGCTGGGGCTGGAAAGTCTGAGAGGTGATTTTCTGAACATACTACTGTTGTGGGAATTCATTCCCGTGATAGCTTTGGGGTACCGGCCTTAGGGCGTGGCTTCTTGTCTGCAGATGTGACTCTTCAAAGGAGAGAGACAGAGGTCACACTCTCTCTTGGGTTGAGAAGATGGGGGTAGGTGGGTGAAGCAGCATGTGACTGGTTCCCATCTCCCTAGGGCAGAAGGACTTTGCAACTGGTTATACCTTGTCCAGTATCCATGAGTCTGTTTTCCCCATATATGCGTGTGTGTGTGTAGTGGTTCCCGTAACATACTACAGGTAGACTTTGCCCACTTAGGAGAAATCATAAAGGTTACTAGCTTTTCTTTCTGTCCTTTGTGGTGACACGTGAACCTTGCTGCATGAAGGGAAGTACACTTGCAAATGTCACTGTCCATCCTCCAGAAGGAGGGGCATCCCATAGTGGACCGCCTACCCCATACCTAAGGAGATCCATGCTAATGCAGAACTAGCCTCGATTCACTTCTGCATCTATTCAACAGACATCAGACGGCTCCTGCACACTAGTGCTAAGAAGGAAAAAAAATCAACCTAAGGAGATGACAAGAGGATAAGAGAAAACTGGGCACACAACTCTTATCCTCTCATCTAAGAAAGAGTCAGGTTACCATGTCCTGCAACACAAAGAATGCGAAATAATAGCTAAGACTGCTAGATTTGAACCCAGACCAGGTTTGTTTTGTTACTTGTATGTGAGAATATTATGGTATATAAAAAAGTTTCTTGACCATCAAATGTCTTTTTTTTTTCTTTTTAAAAATGATTTACTTATATATTTACAGTGTTCTCCCTTCATGTTTGCCTGCAGGCCAGAAGAGGGCACCAGATCTTATTACCGATGGTTATGAGCCACCATGTGACTACAGGGAACTGAACCTAGGTCCTCTGGAAGAGCAACCAGTGCTCTTAGCCTCTGAGCCCTCTCTCCAGCCCTCAAGTGTTTGTGACTGCAAAGAAAGCTGTTGGGGAGAGCCATGGAGCCACACCCTCCAGGTGAGCCATGCCATGCAGGAGAGCCACACCCTGCATTTGATTCACTAAAATCCTGGCCCCAAGTTACAAGAAACGAATAAAAACACTACCCACAATATCTACCACTTAGCCAAGAACACCTCAGAATTTGGCTCTTTAGAACTTGACTGGGACAAGGAGGTGGCCACTTGCTTGTCACCATCACATTCATGGCCATTTGATTTACTTGTCCAGATCCTCACTCCCATGAATAAACTTGAAAAGGTAGTTCATACATTTCAGGGAAGGCAAGATTCGCCCAAAGACCATTTTTCATATTCAACGCTGCTGGCTCATCCTCGCATTCTGTCTGTGACCCCTGTAACTGTGGCAGTGAAAGGTTATGCATGCCGTGTGCAGGAAATGGTAGACATTGGCTACTTTCCTGGATGTTGGTTCTTAGGGCCAATCTCGATCCTGATGGCATCTAACACTGACAAACTCCTGTAGTTCCTGATGCTCAGAGTCAGCACAGAACGAGAATTTCTAAGGGAGGTTTGGATTGTCAATGGCGAGATGTGATATTTGTCAAGACTAGTTTTTACTTCCCATTCTAGCAATGAGCCTTGCCTTAGCTTCACAGTTCCCAACTAGCTGCGTGACCACCACCACGCCCTTCAATCTCTCCAGACTATGTGCGAACACACCTTATCAAGGGCTTGGGAGTAAAGCAAATTAAAGATTGTAACAGATTCCTTGCATAAAATAGGTAAGCAACAATGCAATCGTTTCTGGTATGCCAAAAGCCACAAGGACTCCAACAGTTTTTGCCAGAGTAACTAGAAATTTCATCATATAGAACATCCCGCTCAAGCCTGAGCTCATTTTAGGCTAAAGTTCCACATATGGCATTCAGAATGCTCTTGGATATGTTAGAGGCCAGGCGTTATTTAAGAGGGAAGTACTAGCCACGATAGCGACGAGGATTTGATTTCATGCACTCATGAAAAAGGAATGTGACAAAATACGCTTCAGCACACAAGCGGTACTTAAAGGGACCACACCACATTATTTAAGTTGCTGTCTCATGCTGAGTCCTGTGTGGAACGTTTTGTCCACAGCAAAGATGGTTGCTGGGTCGCTTATCTTTACCCCCTAAAATGGATGAGTAAACTGAGTATTTACAAAAGGGACAGAGTTGGCAGGTCGGGGAACACCTGTGTTTGTTCATAGGCGGTGTTTTAACTCTTGTAGCCCAGTGCTGAAGTCCATGACAAACCGAGACCCTGACTAGTGCCAACGCGCAGAAATCTCAAATGCCAGAAGGTGTGTGTCTGTTTTGGTGGGAGAGATCAAAAGCAGGGTGGTGGTGCATGCCTTTAATCCCAGCACTCGGGAGGCAGAGGCAGGTGGATCTCTGAGTTTGAAGCCACCCTGGTCTACAGAGCTAGTCCCAGAACAGTCAGGGCTATTACATACACAGAGAAACCCTGTCTTGAACAACAACAACAACAACAAAAACCACCTCCTCCTTTCTGGAATGTCATTTACTTAATGAGTCTCCTGCCCCATGAGCCACCAAAATGTCAGATTCAATAACCTGAACACAACAGACTGAGAACAAACTGAAACACCTTCAAACTTGCAAGATACAAGTGTAAGTGGCATTGGCTTTCACGTTTCTGGAGGCAGAGCTGCTTGGCAGCCCAAGCACTGCTTGTTTTTATTTGAATTTAAAAAATAAAGGCATGTGCTACCACTGCCCAGCTTGTGAACTTTAAGCCCAGCACTCAGGAGGCAGAGGCAGGTGGATCTCTGTGAGTTTGAGACCAGCCTGGTCTACAGAGCGAGTTCCAGGGCAGCCTCCAAAGCTACAGAGAAACCCTGTCTCGAAAAACCAAAAAATAAATAAAGTTCATGTTTTTTCTTATACTTTAAAAACACTATCTAAAATCACTTGCTGAGTCTATATATTAAGTGGTCAATTTTAAGTGACTCCAAAATTCTATGAGAAAAAAAATAATTGTCTGGGATACACAACTGCAAACACAAAGACACTTAAATCTACACTGAGTCAGAACAATGCACTAATCCTTCAGAACTTGGTGTTACTTACTGGGAAGAGGACAATGGGCACAGTTAGTGTCACTGCCACCAGGACTGCCACGCGTACCATGAGCAGGGGGGTATCAAATGTGTAGACTTTGCTGTAAGCATGGAGTAACTCATCTTCAACTTCCCCTGCAAGACGAAGAGTTGGGGGGTTGATGAGTCGGCACCGGCTCCTCACAGAAACGTGTGATGACGATGGAGGAGACGAGGGTGGAAGAGGCCCAGGCGTGGGAGTCAGACAGTCCTGAAGCTCGTAAAGCTAGAGCATGAAGGGCTGATGAGCTTCTTGACATGATTTGTACCATGTAAATCTAAGTCTGCTACAAAGAGCATCACAAACCAGGACAATGCGCTTTCACTAAAAGGAAGGATAAGCCTGAGTCCCACCAGCTTGTCTCACCCTCGGCACCATCAACATCCTCTGACCAGTCAGTCATTCAGTCTCTCTCTCTCTCTCTCTCTGTGTACATGTTGGGGGCAGAGGTTGGTGGGGACATGTTTTCCTCAATCACTTACCTTCCTCTTTCAGACAGAGTCTCATTGAACCTGGAGCTTGCCATTTTGGCTAGATTGGTTAGTCAGCAAGACCCCAGGATCTCTCTTTGGTCACTAGCACTGGGGTTACCAGTACATGCCTCCATAGCCAGCTTTTACATGGGTGCTGGTGATCCAAACTCAGGTCCTCTTGGGGTTTTAAAAGGCTGCCTTACAAAACTCATTAGGAAAGCATGCAAGGATGCAAGTGTGTTCTTACTGGATCTCCCAGTCATTTTAGTCTAAGATTTATCTGATGCCTTCTTTGAAGACAGTCATTCTGAATACCAGACACAAATGCACATAGATGCAGCCTGGTTTCCCCCCTTTTTCTCTCAGGATGAGACAAGGGGTACGAATACACTCAGTGGTATTGATCTTGGCTTTCACAAACCTGTGACCAATGAGGAGCTAATGCCGAATCGAGAGCAAGCTAACAGTCAAATATTAAGCAACCACTTTTCCCTAAAAAGAGTTTTACGTTTTACTGTATAGACTTGGATTCATTCTCATTGTTTCTAGCCTGAGCTGGACTGGGAAACTAGACAAAGAAACATCACTTATATGTGAAGGAAATTAACTTATTTGAGGAGTGTGTGTGAACATGTACATATAGAGGGTGATGTTGGGTATCTTCCTCTATTGCTTCCTTGTTTCACTGACTCACAGATCACAGATTTTGTTAGCTTATGAGTCCCAGGCATTATCCTGTCTCCAGTGCTGGGGTTGCAGTAATGTACTACCATGCATGGATTTGTATACGGGCAATGGAGAATCCAAACTTGGGTTTTTACGCTTGGAGTCAGGCACTTTACCTACTGAGCCATCATCCTAGCTGCAATTTGAGACTTCACCAGTTGCTACAATCTATTAGCCAGGTGAATCCACAGCCTGTTTCCTTTGGAAAGCGGCAAGGCTAAATAGAGCATTAATCAAGACTGCACCATTTACATACACACCATGCTACTCACAGAAGGAATGCAAAAGCATCTTATGTATCCAGGTGAATTGTCAGACTAAGCGAAAAGAGAAAGAAGGACAGGGTAACCTACCATAGAAAGTGAGGTAGCCAAAGAGAGCGGCAAGCAGGTACATGATGAGCATCCCTGTGATGGAAATGTTGGACACCGTCTGCATCTTTCTCCGGGACCGACTGGAAAGAAAAAGAACACCAAGCTTCATTTTAAAAACCTTTTTAAATATAACGAAATAATTATGAAACAAGACTTTAGACTTGTTAAATAAAGCTTACAGCTTATTTAAACTTGTCCCAGAGAGCTAAGGAAGACTTATTTCCCATTTCTCTTAAACAATGTTCTTTTAATCCAGTAGTTCCTTTAATGTCAGGTAAGCTTATCCACAGAAGATTAATGTAATTAATTAACTTGATTACATTAAATGGCCAGACTCAAACTGGCCCCTATGGCAAAGCTTTTCCGTTTCACACTGAGATGACTCCAGTAAAGGAAACAACCTAGGGAATCAGCAAAACCCCACTACCAAGAGATCAGACTACACAGAAGTTTCTAGAAACCAGTATAGATAGCACTCACCCAATCTTAAGGTTTATGGAGTTCATACTGTATGTGACTCACAAAGTAAATCTAAGATCCCCACTCCCAATAACTTAACGTGCTCCAGAACTTTATGAGGTAAATCAGAATTTAAAGGACAAGATAGCACCACTGTTCAGGTTTAAAATGTTAAGAATCATCGTCTGATACCCCAGCTGTTAGAATAGGTTCAGACCAAAGGAGATGACTATTAATGAGTCACAGATCCCTGCACTGGTCGAAACTAGCTAGTGTCCCCAATGTACACACAAGGCCATCAGTTCCAGTGAACACCTTTAAGGCAAGGAACTGACCACCAGTTGCTTGGCAAGGCTTCCCTAACTCATTTTAAGTTTTGGTTATCATGAGTATTGTTTCTTTCCAGTTTCAACAAAATCCACATTCAAATCCATACACCTGCCAAAAATCAATGCATCTACTATCTCCTCTTCTGCCTGTGGAAGATCCTTCCCTGAACCATAATGGCAGGATGGGAGAGGAAGCAGAGTCTGGCATGTGGGCTCACTCAAACCTAGCTTGAAACACATCACCAGTGAATTGTTGTAGCACAAACCATCTCTGCTCAGAAAGCCACAGGAGATGCCTCATCGGGCATCTTTGAATAGATGAACATATTTGCACATCAAATGAGAATGCTAAAATGATATGGCTGCCTTACTCTTTAAGTTCACTGTAGATGGGTAGGACCTCGGGATGGCAGACAAAAGCAAATGCTAGGATTGGGATGGCATAGGCGGTCTGTAAAACAAACACCGTATGTTTAGAGGTCCAGCATAGACGGTGATCCCAGAGCATCTCAGTGTATGAAATAAAACTCAGAGACCACAGTGCTCAGCATACGAGGGGTGTGGATCTGTCACTTACCCGGGAATTGAATACAAAGTATTTGGGTTGACACTTGTCACCAGTGTGAGCTTCGTACTCCACTCCACTGCCGTGAAGAGGGCCTGTGGCCTGGTTCTCATCCGGCCCTGCAGGGTTTCGGTGAGTGTAGTCCATCATGAAGTTCACACCAGTGCTCTCTGAGTTATTGGGCAACATAATCACGTGTATTGGAAGTGTGCTGTTGAACGTCAGGTTTCCAGCACCGTGATCCAGCACAGGCAGTGGGCAGGGTATTTGAAATTTTTTGTAAATCACCTACAGTCAGTCATTAAAAATTAAAACAACAAAAATAAAAGAAGTCAAGCTTTGAGGGGGAAACAATGAAATGAAAATCCACCGGTGTGGCTTTAGGGGTGCGGCTGAGAGAACTCAGTTGAGATCTCCTTGGACTATCAAAGGAAACAGCTGCAACTATGATTGGCAAAGCTCCTTTCTAGTCAATAGTACCAGGCTTTGGTGAGCCACTCCAGACCTTTCTGGCTCTTTATGACAAAGATAATTTCTTCATTACATCAAAATATCCATGACACAAGTCATCAAAAATTCTTTCCTCTTCCTTTACCTCTTTGGGGGAAAAGATTTACAAATTTCACATCTATGATATTTTAAGAAATTTCTCCTTTGTTAGAGTTGATTTCTTTTTTAGTTCTGCTATGCTCAATGCCTCTTAGTGGGTAGAAAATGGAAGAGAGAATGGCTGACACATGCGCTACTCAGGTCTTCTAAAACACTGGGTCACTACCATGGTCCTTTGTCCAAATGTTCACCCAGAGATCCTGGATCATACCATGTGCTATGTATGACCTTGGCATTCTAATTAAACTATTTTTAAACCCATGAGTCTCCCTTTCTCATTCCAAATTAGAATACAATAAAATTGCTTGTGAAGCAAGAACTATTTTATGCTAGTGAAGTGCTTGGGCAAAAATGAGGACACTAATGAAACATGGCATGCTTGCCAAGCTACAAGGATCATGTCAACAGAGCACTTACCACACTGACAAAAAACACCATGCACGTCAGGGAAAATCCACTGGTATAGCCAAGGTAACCTACGAATTAGCAGAAATATTTTGGAAGGTGACTATAGTGTCTAAAAAAGCTTGCCTATTAGAATATGAAGTAAAGATAAACGTACTTTTAGTTAGTGAATTAATACCTAAATTTTTAAGAAGAGAGAGTGGAAGGATAACTCCCACAGACACAAATATCACGAGGTAGTTGCCATTGAGGTACCATTCCCTAGAAGAGAAAGAGAGAGGGTGTTGGGAACAGAAAAGGTAACGGAGTCACTCAGTTTCACAGAGAGAACCTAAGACATACCCAGTGTTTTCTTCAAGTCCCATGAATGCTCTGATTACTTCAGGTAGCTCATATTTAATGATGAAGAGGTAACTTGACATTGCTGAAAAGGACAAAGGGACTGCTTAGTGGTGTTACACACACACCGTCATCCCACGCAAGCTGTAAGAAGTCAGAGCACTCAGGACATCCATTCCCCTTAGAAAGATGAGCAGCATCTCATCCCTAAAACAGAATGTGAAGGCCCCACGCCCTCTACAAGGCTTTCAGGTTCACTTCAAGAGTACATATGTCTGTCTTTCCAGCTCAGACACAAGGGGCTGCTGCTAACAGTGTCCCTGTTGATTCTTGGTTAAATCCAACTTGAGGTTCTAGGGAAACTTCGGGTCCCACATTTTCACTCTCCTTAGTTAGAGATCGTCAAGGCCTGTGCTGTGTATGTCTACAGGTGGTGGTCTGACAGAAGGCAGCGAAGGCCAAAACCGACATAGCAGAATTGCAAGGCAGGTCTCTGCGCACTCCCTTCCCCAAGTGACATCTGTGGGGTCCTCTGTGGTCTCCCAGAGCCACACACAGAATCTCGACCCATGGCCACTGAAAGTCTTTTAGATTGATAAATAGAGTATAAGAGACAACAGCTTCTCCACCATTTTGTCTGTTAAGGGTTTGGGTTTTTTTTCTCTTATTCCAGTTTCCCATTGGTCAAGAAAAATTACAGAAAGGATCAAATTTCACCTGCACTATTTTGAAAACATCATAAAAACCTATAAAACCAGCCAGGCAGTGGTGGTGCACACCTTTAATCCCAGCACTTGGGAGGCAGAGACAGGCAGATCTATGTGGGTCTGAGGCCAACCTGGTCTACAGCACAAGTTCCAGGACAGGCTCCAAAGCTACAGAGAAACCCTGTCTCAAAGCAAACAACAAAAAACAAACAACCCACCCCCCAACCTCTCCTTGAATACATGTCTGCATACATACATAAAACATGACAATTTTGCCTCCAATTAGAGGGATTTGTGCAGCACTCCATTCCCAAGTCCACCATTTGATGCAATTTGTTTCTAGTTTGTTAGGTGGCACACAGGCAGGGAGGCAATTAAAAGTAAAACCAGTAGGGCTGAGGTTGTAGTTCAGGGGGTAGAATGATTGCCTAGCATGCACAGGGATCTGAGTTCTGGTCCCCACACTACATAACAAGGAAAGGCTAGTTTTATACAGCTCTCAGCATGAGTGACACCCCTCTGGTGCAGTTGTATGGACAGGCATCTAAGTTGTACACCGAATTCTGACCAGGTTCAAATTAGTCCCTGAGCTTCCAAGGAGGTGAGAATGGTGCCAATCATTTCTGACACTATTGCGTTTCATCATTTGGTCATCTGAAAAATCTTGGAGAGACAGGTGTACATCATACCCTACCCTGCAGTTCAGGACATCAGGACATGAGGAACTCAATGACACATCCAAGATCACACTCTTGCAAAGGGCAGACTACGTGAAAAGCACAAGGCCCCTCACTCTGGATCACCGTCTCTTCCCAACAGTCAAAGCGAGATGGTTTCTCCGATAGCTGCCGTGTCTCCTGTCCACATGGCTTGGTTAATCTTTACAATGCCCTTGGCCACAGCCGAACCTTACAGAGCGTAAACAGGAGGTGTTTCTGATGAGCTGGCTCACGGAGGAACCGTTCGATTTTAGAGCTCTTAACTGCTGATTCTGGGTGATGTCACCACCGTTAATGTGTTTGGTCTTTGAAAATTCAGGGCGCTACAGGCCTGTTTGGGTAATGTCAATATCATCCTGCTAATGTCAAAACATCAGTGGCAAATGCCAAGTTTTTAGGGGGTTGAAAAATTAAAGTGTTCTAAATGTGGAGCTGCTAATTTAAGAAGCGCAAGTGGCTTCCCTTATGCCAAACCTCTAATCATACAAAATAGTTAAAGTGAGAGGATTTTCTGGGGTGGGGGTAGGCAGCCATGCTTCTTGTGCTTGGCTTAACACAGAGCCTGCTTTGATTCACACCTGGAAGTGTAATGGTGGCTGTAGTGACACTTTGAACAGCCATGGCACCATGACTCAGCTTGCGCAGTTAGGGCCTAAACACACTCTGGGCTCCTTATTTCAGATGTCACAAACTGAGGTGATCTCGTAAAACGCTCGATGATTTAAATCTCCGAAAAGCTGGAGATTTTTAACTAAACGTAGAGCAGATTCTTTAGTGAGCTTAAATGTTTATGGCCCCAATCCGGGAAAAGCAAAACAAAACAAAAACATACAACAACAAAACAAAGACAACCCCTGTGATTCTGGAGATGTCTACACAAGACTTTAAAAACAAAGTCAAATAAACACACACTGGGAGCTGTGGGTGTGGCTCAGTGTTAGAGCTCATGCATATTCAAGACCTCAGCGGCCTCAGTGCTGCCGCAGAGGGTTTGGTGAGATTTAATAATTAGAATGCTGTTGTCCGCTTGTTGCCAGAAGTTCTGTAGTTGCTCGTTTTATTGTGCATCATACGGAAAGTTCAAGTGGTCCATTGCAAGCTCCCCACTCACCTCCAATATTCTGCATTGTAATAGAGACAAAGGCTCCAATTTTCCCGGGCCATCCAAATGCCTTTTCCCCTAATTTTTCATAAATTAAAGACCCTATAAGGGAAGATAGAATTGCTGTGTTAGAGGGTCATTCTCATGCCTCTAGCATTGCTTTACATAACTCTACACTGGAATACTCAGCGTGTAACCAAATAGTAGAGAGAAATTACAAAACCAAAGGACCGGACCTCAGAAACGAATGAGCAATGTCGAACGCTCTCCAAACAGAAGCCACGGCTCCATTCGCCTGAGCTGTGTGTCCTTAGTAGCTATACCTACCATTTGCCAAAAATCTTTTCTTCCCCCTATTTGGCTTGAACTTGGGCCAGTCAGCTTCCATTCTTGATTCTCACCTGCCTGATTAACTAATAACCTTGAGAGAACTCATTGCGGGGGGGGGGAAGGGGGTCAGGGGAAAAAGAACCTGACTGACATCCTCCTTAGCTTATAATGCTGTATAAGTGAGAGGCTCTCTTGAGAATCAAGGAAGACAGCTTTTGGCTGAAGATGTGGGCTTAAAGGGAACATACCTCCTTCTTTGGCTGTCTTTAATAGAAGGTGAACCGAATAGAGTGATAATATTGCCACAGTAAGCAACATGATTCTGTAATGAAACAGCAAGTAGACAATACAAGTTTTATCATAGGTAAGACATTGCTATGCTAAACATTGCAATAAATTACAGTAATAGTTTTGCTTCTTCAACTGTCAACTTTGCAAAAGTATATGGAATTGGAGGATTCCGGGAAGTTTTTAATTGCCACCCAACTAGAACTTTCTGTGCTGTACTTGCTTCAGCTACTACCTAAAGCTACTTACATTGTGGTATAATCTGTCTCACAGGTGAGATGCTAATGGGCATGAAACTAGCACATCCATCCACTCACTCAGGGTCCAGGTGTGTGCCTGGCATATTTGCATCAACAGGTTGCAGTGAAAGGCTGTTTGAGAACACGACTAGACCTAGGCTTAGACACTCCAATTTCTTTTTTACTACATAAGAAAGGATGGTGCTTTGCTAACTGGAGGGTCGGGTGCAATAAAGAAAGCAGAGGATGGTGAGTGCAGCCGGCAGTACACTTGCTTATCTTCAAATGGAATTCATTGATATCAGGACTGTCTACACAACCGCATGTATGAATGGCTTCTATGTTAGTACCAATCAGCGTATCTCCAAAATAAAGAGGAGAACATGGGTAGAACCAGACATGGTGCACACACCTGTAATCCCAACGCTTGGGAAGTTGAGGCAGGAGGATTATTAGTACAAGGTCATCCTGGGCTATATAATAACACCTTGTTTCAAACAAACTAAAAAAATTGTGATTAGCATCATTTGGGTAATAAATGGGCATAACTAACATCTGAAATTTCAAAAAATAATCTTTCCTTTTGTTTACTTGAGAACACACATCTTCCCACATTTTATCTGATAATCCCAGCAAGAACACTACTGTATATGTACATTCAGACCACGGGTACACACTTATAGCTACTCTAGCCATATGTGTCCTGATATTCCAGAAACCAAGTCTTCCTGGACCGTCTAAATCAATGGCTTATCCATACATGTCACATGAATGTACCTGTTTTTAAAGAATTATGTAGTTCAGTTTCTGCAGTTTTGTTCCATGTAAGAATAGTGAGCATTCCTGTAGCTTAAACACATGCATACTATGAGACAAATTCTAAAAGTGAAACCGCTGGAATACTATGTCACTTGCTGCAAACTAAGGGCACAGCTGAATGTTTCTGAGACGCACAAAGCAACACCTATGGTGTTGAGTTGTGATGGTTCTGGTCAAATTAACCAGCTAAATGAAATGAAGCCTTTGTTTTAAATTTGGACTGCAGTCTTCTCCAGAAGATGGTCTATGGCTCCATGGTTGGGAAAAAGTGATTCCTGTTTCTGCTCATCAATGATCTGTGAGAATTTCTTAATTATTTCTAATGACATAAATGATTATTGAGAAAGCATTCTTTTTGGTTCACAGGTTGTGTTCATTAGAAAAGCATATAGATATACAAATATATTATGGGCCAATTATTCAGATGGGAAACAGCTAATTGATTTCAAACAATTTATTGAAATTGGTATAAAAATCCACTCAGCTAAAGCCTATACTACACGAAGTAGTTCATTTGACACAAGGTAAATATTTATAGTTCTGAAACTCAGTCCTTACATAGCTGTGTGGTTAGCTAATCGCATGCGGTGGCAGAACACAAATAGCACATATTGAAAGTGTATGTGCTGCATTCTTAGACAGTTAGCTCTCCAGGCTCCATGTTCATATGACACCTAATGTGCATATGAAATACTGAGAAGTGTGTCCTGGAAAACACCAAACTGTGTACAACCATGCAGACGTCTGTGGTTGTCCATCACAGGTGAGGCCCCTACTCAACCGTCCTATTGGTCAGCCGTGGAACACTGCTGCTTTCAGGCAGCCTTGGACCAAGCGTGGAGAAAGCATAGGGGTTTGGAAATAAGCTTCAGTCATCCACACATATCCTGCAGGCACTGTGTTAGGATTTAGGAAAGGGTGTGTGATGAGACATGGGGCCAGTTCTCTGGGTCTTGCAGTCTAGCAAGGGAGCTCGACACTAACTAAGGAAATCAGACAAGCACACAAGGGTGTTATAATGGAGGCACACCTATGACACACTGGCCCCTGTCACAGAAGGCAGACTAAGGTTAGGCTGAACAGAGATAGGAGAAGTGAAGAGAGGAAAGAGGGCTCAGAGACCATGTGCAAAGAAAGGCCAGTGCATTGAGTCTGATGTCCAGAGGCACAAGGAATAGGATTGGGGCATGCAGGCTCTTAGATGACATGAGTTATTTTTCCTAAGATTATTCAAGAATTTGATTTGCTTTGGGGAGGAATATTTCTGGTTACTGAACACTACGTTATTTTAGCATCAAGTGATGAGCTACTCTGGGAAATGGTTTCTTCTTCCTGTAGACTGATGTGCTTCGCGAACATGTTGGTGGTTGAATACATAAACATTCTACCATCTGATTAAAGACGGTCAAATGAGTGAGCTTGCTCATTCAACCGTGGCAGAAAAGCAAGAGCAACTTACTAATACTTTCTCAGATTACTCTCACTCACAAAGAATTTGCATCAGGGTGTCAGGTTATATGCAAACGTGGCACTAAACACAGTCATATATGTTCACTTACATAAAAAGGACGATCCCTGTATTGGCCATGGCATAGGACAAGCCTAAGATCCCACTGCCCATGATGGCATTACTCAGGTTGAAGGAGGACATTCCGAAGGAAGTCGTTCCGGGATGCTTGAGGAAAAGAAGTGCAGCATGAGTAACATTTGCTAAGGTACCAGTCTTGCCTTTGACTATCCCTCTCATATTATATCTCCCGGAAGAGACTGAAACCCCAAATGGAAGAGTAAGAGAAAACCACAGCGAGTAAAAGCCATTAATTACTCAGAGCATCAAAAACAATGTTTCATTTTGAATGGGATGCAAGCCTTGGCTTCAACGTAGGTCGCAGGCAAAATTAAAAATACCGAGGAGCAATAAGAAGGAGGGAAAACAATGTATGGCTGCAGGTTACATTTGGGTGAGAACTGATTTCTTGAAAAAATAAATTTCATAAATGATTCATGCAGCCATATGGCAAATGGGAAAAACAAGCCTTTATTCCAGTAAGGGCCTGAATAAACACAGAATGTGCTGATGAAGGCTTGGAAAATTTCAATCACGGTGTTTTCCCACCGAGACGGCGGTAGACCAGACACCTTTCTGCATGTTTACCTCCTGAAAGCAGAGCGTCACTTACGTGTTCATCCCCGTAATCGGCCAGCTTCTTCTTCCCCAAAAATCCATTCGTTAGGAACCTCTGACTTTCGGCATCTTCATTAGCAAATTGACTGAACAAGAGACGGGAGGAAAGCAAAAAAAAAAAAAAAAGAAAGAAAGAAAAAAGAAAAAAACCCAGGAAAACATTTCAGTAAATGCTCTGACTTGTGTTTGAGTGCAGGGCAATCTAATGAACTGTACCAGGGAAGGCAATGTCCAAAATGTCTGTCTTCTCTTCCTTCCCACTAGTGTTGATGCTAAACCAACCACTGAACACATGATGAACAGTTGTGGGGTAGCAGAGGGTGTTATAAGGAAATAGGTTCAGCTGAAAACTGTATATGCTATCTCTTTTTCCCCCACACTGACTATGCAAGAGATTAACTGAGTTTAGGTTTAGTCCCCCTTTGTGAACCCTTTCAAGGAGAGGGTGCAGAGCCACAGTCTGAGTTTTTAAAAACTACTGTCATGCCAAGATGAGATGATGCTCTTATTGTTGTTTGTTGATTTTTTATGGTGCTAGAGACGAAACCTCTGTAAGGCTGGGGCTCTACAGAGCCACACCCCGCTCTAATTTTACAGATGTAACAAATGCACTCAGGCAGTCCTCTCATTTGATGCCTTGAATATCCCTGTGGGAGGAGCTTCCTTGGTTCTACTTAAAGGCAAGGCAACTGCAGTTGGGAAAGGAAGAAGCATGTCCTCCTGCCACACTCTACCCGTGGCCCTTCCTGGCACGACACAGTCCCAGCAGAACACAGTCCCAGCACGACTCCATAGCTATTTCCATTGCAGGTGCATCTTGCTATGCCTGTATTGCTTCTTAGAAAACAGTTGCATAGTAACTCTGGGTTGTATTTGGTTCTGCGTACCTGCATGCTCGTGTGTGTGTGTGTGTGTGTGTGTGTGTGTGTGTGTGTGTGTGTGTGTGTGAGATTCATAGGTAATAGATAAAACTGAGAAAATTATTAATAAAGCCCAGTGAATTGGCAGAAAAGCTGAGAAAGACTTTGAAGAGGCATGAACCATGGGGCGGTGGTGGCGCACTCCTTTAATCCCAGCACTCAGGAGGCAGAGGCAGGCTGATCTCTGTCAGTTTGAGCTCAGCCTGGTCTACAGACTGAGTTCCAGGACAGCCTCCAAAGCCACACAGAGAAACCTTGTCTCAACAAACAAACAAAAGGCATGAACCAATGGGTATAGTGGTATTTATTAATCCCAGCATTTGGGAAGCAGAGGCCAGCCTGGTCTACAGAGAGAGTTTTAGGACAACCAGAGCTACACAGAGAAACCTTGTCTTGAAAAACTAACTAACCAATTAACTAACTAACTAATGCATGAGTCATAAAGCTTACTGTGATTATGATCTGCCTGGGCACAGTCTGGAGGCTACACAAGTTCATTGATGCCATTCCCGCCTGTGCTGGTCAGCTCCAGAAGTCACATGCCAGTGTTGATGCTGTGACCAGGGGACCAGTCTCACTTCCAAGAGGCCCGACCAGCAAGCCCAGCTGCCACCATTACACTTTTAAATATACAAATATAACATAAGCCTTCATTGCCAGTACATGCTCAATTCTTCCCATTTCTGGAAAGGACTTCCTAGCTGTCTTTTTTTTTAAGACATTTTTCAAATTCGAGAGTAAAACAAAACATCTGGAGAATAGTTAGGAAGATAGCCCTTAGATATAAAATGAGAAATGAATTTCTCCAGGAGATCCTTTCAAATCGACTTTTAAATAGGAGCTAATCCTGAAAACGCTCTGACAGGGAAGAGGCACAGCAAACAGATCTGGTGGGAAGAGGTCCTGCAGGGTTGCACTCAGACACTAGAGTACAATACACAGTACAGCTAGCACAGAACAGGCACGGTCACATAGTGTCAATACAAGGTACAGCTAGAACACATCAGACTAAGTCACACTGTCAATACACAATACAGCTAGAACACAACACACTAAGTCACACAGTGTCAATACACAGTACAGCTAGAACACAACAGACCAAGTCACACAGTGTCAATACACAATACAGCTAGAACACAATAGACCAAGTCACACAGTGTCAATACACAATACAGCTAGAACACAACAGACCAAGTCACACAGTGTCAATACACAATACAGCTAGAATACAACACACTAAGTCACACAGTGTCAATACACAATACAGCTAGAATACAACACACTAAGTCACACAGTGTCAATACACAGTACAGCCAGAACACATCAGACCCGGTCACACAGTGTCAATACACAGTACAGCCAGAACACATCAGACCCGGTCACACAGTGTCAATACACAATACAGCTAGAACACAACAGACCCGGTCACACAGTGTCAGTACACAGTACAGCCAGAACACATCAGACCCGGTCACACAGTGTCAATACACAATACAGCTAGAACACAACAGACCCGGTCACACAGTGTCAGTACACAGTACAGCCAGAACACATCAGACCCGGTCACACAGTGTCAATACACAGTACAGCCAGAACACATCAGACAAGGTCACACAGTGTCAATACAAGGTATAGCTAGAACACAAGAGACACATAGTATCCCTATACAAGGTACAGCCAGAACACAACAGGCACACCCACAAAGCTTTCAGTATATTTCTAGGAATTACAAAGTAATAATCCTGAGTGCACAAGCAAAAACCACTTCCTAGCTTTGCCCCAGGTTTCTCAAATGAAACACAGGCTCCCCCACACCCCGCTGCTTTCTTCTGTCTCCACAGTCCTCCTACCATCTTTAAGTGGTTTAACAGTCTGTGTTTAATATACTAGCTATGTAGGAGCTGTTACATAATGCTCACAGTTGGAACCTGGGATGACAGAGTAAAATGGGACAAAGGACTATAAAAGCAAGTGTTTCTTCCAGTACAATCTAAACTGAAGTGTGTCCAACACTCTTATTTTACTCAGCAAATTAAAATCTCCACTACACGAGTGGTTTTTAAAACCTAGAATTTGAAAGTAAGCATATTACTTATTTCTGAGGCATTTGCAATGTTCTTATTTTGGCATGAGATGAGATGTAGGCATAAAACAGACTGAGCTTGTACAAATATGTGAGAAATGCCCTCAGCATGTTCAGTATCTGAATGTCAGAGGCAACGTGTATTGAAAACATAAGGAACATGACCTCAAGCAAAGCCTACAGTATGTGAATTAAAAAAAAAAAGCACAACTACAGATGCATTCTAAACCAAACACAAACAAAACCTGATGGGGGAAGTCCTGTACATTTGTTAATAAAGCACTGTTGGCCAATAGGAATCTAGATAGGTGGGACTAGGAGTCCAGGAGGATTCTGGGAAGGAGAAACACAAGAGAGAATCGAAATGTAACACCACGGGGTAGGAAGCCGGGAACTATTCTCCGGTAAGAGAAATACTTAGATTAACAATTATGGGGTAATTACTTAAGTCAGAGCTAGCCAGTAAGAAACAAGCAAGGCCACAGCTTCATAATTAATACAGCGTCTTGTGTGTTATTTGGGGACTACAACGCGGCAGAGCCCAGGCGACTGGTGGGTGATAAACCAAAGCGGCTAGCAAGAAAAGTTTCTCGTAACAAAAACCCACCTGTTAAAAGTGAATGTAAAATCACAAACCAGACATCTTAGGCGTGAGTTCTCATGTAAGAAAGTGTGCCAGTGTCAGTAGCTGAGAAGACGCTGTGAAACTGAACAGCAGCAGCCACATGGACTCTAGGGCTGGCCTTGGGACTGGACCCCCCCTCAGCTCACCCTCCGCCCCCAGCACTTACACCTGTGTGTGTTCCTTCAGAATCAGACTTGGGCCAGCATCCTAAGAGCAATGACGGAGAAGGAAAGAGCACAGAATCGCTGAGTATCACCTTATGTCCCACACAGTTACTTACTCCTTGGAAAAGCAGGTGCTGCTTTGCTAGTCTATACTTTGCACGGAAGCTCAGATGAAGATAAATCTTCCCCAAGCCAAGCAACCACTCTGCAGACGCCAGTGCCCTGTGTTTTACCACATTCGGGAGCCACTGAGATTAGAAAACGCCCCGATTTACCCCTTCCTATCCAACAATCCTAAAACTCCCTGCACCAGACCATCTATAGGAAGACCATTGCCCCTCCTGACTGCCCTTCCCCGAGAGTGGGAAGGAGCTAATGTCCTTATTAGAAATCAGGTGGCTGAGTTGCACTGGTTAGTGCAATTGATGGGTGAACAAAATGACCTGAAACTCCGATGGAAGGGTTAACAGGCTGAGAATATGCCACGTAGTTAATGGGTGGCCCCATGATAGTTCATGAATGATATTACTTGGGATATGCTTTTGGAGATGAAAAACAAACCAAAACTAAGAAAGAATGAAAGCCACCCAAACAACAACAACAAAAAACCTCTGGAGGCATAATATTGAAAGTGTAGTCAAAGGAGAAGAATTGTGGGGGTCCCCCAAAAGAGAAACAGAACAGCAGGCTAATATCAGTGAAATAGGGGTTACATTAGCAGTGGAGACAAGGACATTGCAACTTCAATTTCCCATCAGTCACACAAAGGATCAGAGAGTTGATGTGTTAACACTGTTATCTCACATTGATCCACAATAAATCCAATCACTCCACCAAGACCCTGGTTTTCCAAGCCCGTGGCCCATCTTGTTTTTCCATAGAGACTGACGATTTTTCATCCCGTACCTGCTCATGGCTGCCTTTTCAGAGTTCCCCATCCTCAGGTAGCTGTCTGGAATGCTTTCTCCACTGCTGCTCTCGTCCTCAGGCTCGATGTTGACATTTCTCAGTTCCATGGGGTCCATTTGACCTGTCAGCGCTTTCCTGTCCACACGGGAGCTTCTTCAGAGTAAATAATCCACAGCCCCTTCAGTTTAAGGCTCTTGCCCTTCGCGTTGACGTTCAGAACACGCTGTTCTGAAAACAGAGCACAAAACACACCGGTATAATTTGCTTTGAATTGGATCATGAGTCTGAATCCCCTACTTTGTGGATACCTGCTGTAAAACGAGGAAAGGGATAAGGTTCTTGGAAACCTCATGAAAAATATGCCCTGAAAGTTTCCCTTACCTAATACACAAAAAGAGAAAGAAGAAACAAAGAATGAAAGAAAGGAAGGAGGAAAGGAGGGAAAAGGGAGAGAGGGAGGGAGGGAGAAGAAAAAGCATGGCAGATATTTTGCAACTCACTATAGGAATAAACAAAAAAACAAAATAAAATCTCAAGGTGTGGCAGACAGTCATCGTGAAGATTTAGGTCTTTTAAGCAGATTGCATGCTCTTTTTTTTTTTTTAAACGGAGGGGAGAGGACAAAAGTAAATTATTGACAAAGGAAGATCTGCCAAGTATCTCCACGAGCTGTAACTAGAAAGAACATTGATGACTTAATCTAACTGAGCATGAAGGAGTTCAAGGCACCAAAGTGCTTGATAATATGCAATTCTGGGCAGATCTGAGGTTAGAAAGACACATTCTAGGCATCTGGAATGCAAGCCTAAAACTACTAACAAAATAAACACACTGGTTTACCTTCTAATTCAAATGTGTATCATCAGCCACAGAGAGATTCGGCTCTTAGAATGTACTCTGTCTTTAAGGCACTGATTGTAAGCATAGCTTTGTATGGACTTGGTTCTCCTCAATGAAAAGTGATGAGGGGGACTGGGTGGATTTGCCTTTTCTAAAAATACCATAAATCATCCTATGCTACTGATAGAAATTTTCTGGAAAGCTTACAGCTAGATGCATTCGGTTGTGGTGGAGCCCTTATACTAACAGGAATTACCACTGTACTGGAAGGAAGTAATTCTGAGATGTGAGTTTTATCCGCTCTGAGCACACACTGAACAGAGACATGACCATAGAAATTGCTCCAGAACTCAGAGAACCACAAACCCTGAGAAACATGAAACCTACACATGAAAATACCCCCACCATTCTCAGAAGCATATCTGTGGATATGAGCTTAGGACCCCAAATTATGAAGTTTAAAACACATACAGAAACTCACTAATATGAATGTCAGTAAGGCACAAGAAAGGACAAGATTCCCAAGTCACACAGCAATTATAAAATAGGCTCCATCCACCCCCAGACACGGTTTCTCTGTAGATTTGCAGCCTATCCTGGAACTCTCTTTCTAGACCAGGCTGGCCTCGAACTCACAGAGACCTGCCTGTCTCTGCTTCCCAAGTGCTGGGGGATTAAAGGCATGCACCACCACTGCTCTGTTAAAATAGGCTTTTAAAGTGACATAGTCATAAAAAATCCAAAGGAGAAAATACCATCTAGTTAAGTTTGTTGTAAAACAAGGAAAATTTAGTTTATACAAAAGCAATTCTAAAAACAACAACAACAAAAAATTGCAGCCATTGAAACAGGAAAATGCAGCTAAAGGAAGAGCTAGGAAAGTGGGAGAGAGAGCTGTAGAAATCACTCAAATTATAGCACAAAGAGATAAAGAAACAAAAATGTGAAGGAGAAGCTAAGAGGTTGGCACAGGGTCTACCAGTTGTTCCCATGTGACAGAATCGCAAAAACAGACAGGCAGAATAGAAAGAGAAACTTGACAAAGTACAGGTTTAGAATATGGGAAAAAGCAGGTCCCAGAATTTCAAAGAGGACAGGCATTTCAAATTAGATGGATGAAAGTGAAACCTTTATTAATACAAGGCAGAGTACATGCATAAGATAAAGTCAAGAGGAGACACGCGTGGGGTGCAGAAGGAAGAACTGTGGATGCTTAAAAGACAAAACAAAACACCGAGCACGGCGGTTCCCTTGCCCGTTGCGCCTGCTCAGTCTCGTTTCCAGACAGGAGCTGCTCAGCTCATTCTGCTGTCCGGTCCCCAAGGCTGCCGTTCTGTGATAAGACAGTGGCACACTTTCTTCTATCCACACTCTCCCTTGTGTCAAAGAAATAGGTTTACGGTGTTGAGACTCATTTCGTCCTGATCTACAAAACTATTAAATCCGTTCCAATTGATATCTACAGATTGCTTCCACGCAGGACCAACCGTCTCCATTTACAGCGTTCCCATTGTGTAAACGGCACTCCTGAGAAAACCAAGTGGTGCATTTGACTCCATGACCACAATTCTGAAGGCAAGGTTCCGGCTTCTCCTTCCTCTTTGAACGGCCTCCTCCTCCAAACTTGCCTTTTTGTTTCATCAATCCATGTTGCATTGTGCTGAAATATCGCCTGGAGATGCCTTTCTTACCAAGTGCGCCTTTATCCACAGACAGACTGAGTCGTTTTTCACACTGGAAAATGACTTTGTTTTGCTTTCGCACTTTGTTGTATGAATTCCAGATTCAGACTCTTTTCCCTCTGGGTGTTGAAAACATTTCTCCCTCTACCGCAGCTCTCTACTGATTAGTTTGTTTTTCATTTCTTTGTAGCTAACATTATTTTCTGAGTGACTTAAGCTTTTTCTGCTTACACTGATCTTAAATTTCACCAGTGCCTTAGTTAGCTTCAGTTGTCAACCTGACACACCAGGGAGGGAGCTTGATCTAAGGGACTATCCCCATCAGACTGACTTATGGACAAATCTGAGAGGGATTTTCTTCATTGTTACCTATGGGGGAGGGATGGTGTAACCCCTAGGCAAGTAAGCCTGGGTTGTATTAGTAGGGTAGCTGAGCAAGCCAGTAACCAGGGTTCCTCCATGTTTTCAGCTCCAAGATCCTGTCTTGATTTCCCTCCACGATGGACTTAAATCTTTCATTCCCACAAGTTGCTTTTGTTTCAGTGTTTTATCACAACAACAAAAACCGAAATTAAAACAATCAGGATGAACTCAGATGTGGGTAGTTTTTAAAATCCACCCTTTTCTGTATATAGAGGGCCGGTTCAATCAAAAGACATGTAGTTTTCTTCAGAACAAAAGAACATTTTTGTCTGCCATTGCCTAAAGCTATCTTATGTCTTCTCCTGTGTTTATTCAGAGCCATTGTGGGCCTGTTGGTCTAGATTGCTCAACTTCTCTCTTTACAGGTGGTTCCTTGTTTGTGAAGTTACAGTGTATCTTGTTTTTTTCTGGACTCCTTTGAAACACTAGGAGGCAGTGGTAAGCTCCAGGTGCCAGTCAGCCAGCAATAATGCACAAAGAACAGCCAGTTCTCTAGTTTGCTGCATGGAGAAACTGCTGTGCTTGGACAATGTAGTCTTGAATGTCCCTCCAAAGCCCACCTGCTGAAGGCTTGGTTTTCAGTCTGTAGCACTATTAGGAAGTACGGGAAGCTTCAGGTCTTTGGAAGTTGGCTTTTGAAGGACACCCCCCCCTCCATGTTTCCTTTTGCTTTCCATACACCATGAGATACACAAGTCTCCTCTGCCGTGTGCTACCGCCATGTAAATGACATTCCCACAGGTCCAGAATAAGGAGGGCATGTGAGTGAATTCTGACCCATGAGCCCAAACACATCCTTTCTCCTTTAACCTGATCACCTCAGGTGTTTTGTCACAATAACAGGAAGCTGACTCGTGTGGTAGGTGAGATGTACTAAATACAGCCCATTGTGGCTCCTTTGTCAATCAAGTAGCAACCACGCCTTCCCTTTCTTTATCTTACTGATCCAGACTCAGGTATAGTTTCTCAATGTCATGTCCAAACAATAAACAGATCTTTGGGTACATCTCTTCTTTTCAACCTAGCTAGCAATTCACTCTGTCCCTCAGGCATGTCCATGTCCAGTCTACTTCTTCTCTCTGCTCTGGACTCATCCAGATGCCCCTGCATCCGGCTATGAAGTGGGGGTTTCAGCAACAGACGTATAAAGTGAGGACATGACCTCAGAAGGTATGGTTGAGGGGGAGCTTTTTATTGTAGATATGAGGGACAGTACAGCCAGGGGAGTCTAGAAGAGTCTAGAGCAGGGAGAGAAAGTAGTAGATTAAACACGGCCATGAGGGGAGGGGGTAAGAGAGTGAGAGAAACAGAAGAAGACTAAGAAAGAGGCAAGAGGCAGGAGGGCAAGAGGACACATGGCCAAAATGGCAGAGTTAAGTAGGAGAATCGGAAGAAAAGGAAGTGTAGGATAGGGGGCAGGGTGGGAAGACCCAGGATGGCAGCACGGACTCTGTAACAGGTGTTTGTGATGCTGAGGGAACCTGGTAGCGGGGCGTGCACCTTCATATGCTAATAGGCACCACAGCTAGCCATGTGTCCCTAGTTTTTTGTTTTTGTTTTGGACCTGACAAGACATGCTTTTAATTTCCACTGATAATTTTTTTCTCCTCTTCCTCATTTTTTTCAGGTCTTCTTCTTTTTGTTATTTTATGTATGGGCACATTGTTTCCAAATTCTAAAGGTGTTGACTTGGCATCTTCAGAGCTTGATAGGATAGTGGATATTCAGGGTCTCAGGCACTGTGGGCTTGGCTCAGTGCCACCTGCTCCTTTCCTGGTCTCTCTGCATAGTGGCTCCTCTGCAGCATGTTTGTGTGTGGGAAGGACACCCTGCAGGGCCCGATCCTATGCACAGCTGCCACTGGGGCTTCATTCCTACTCGGTACACTTCTTTCTCTGTTGCTAAGGCCCAAGGACTCATCCCAAAGTCCTGTGGAGGTCTTCCTTATGGACGAGATTACAAAATCAACCTTAAAAAAATGGCAGGCCACCATTTCCCTAAGCCGATTTACTTTCCAACTGTATTCTAGATACTTATACACACAGATATGTGCAGCTCTCACCTCTCATCAAACAAGCCTCTTTTGGCAACATATGAATGCTATTACAGAGGATTCACAACTGGTCAAAATGTACAGTAAGTGACCATGGGATACACAGTTCAAATTGGTACATCGACAACGCAAACCCCCTAGACGTTGAGGTTCACGGATATCACTGAAGAAGGGGTGGAAAGTCTGTAAGAACTGGAGAACCAGAACTCCTGTATCTTCTAGACACACCA